AAAGAGTCAACAAGTCCACTTACTCCTGTGATGTAAAGAGTCAACAAGTCCACTTACTCCTGTGATATAAAGAGTCAACAAGTCCACTTACTCCTTTGATGTAAAGAGTCAACAAGTCCACTTACTCCTGTGATATAAAGAGTCAACAAGTCCACTTACTCCTGTGATGTAAAGAGTCTATTTGGGTTGAGATTGTGAAACCCACGGGATTAAAAACTGCTAAGTGTTTTAAATTGGTAGAAGATGGGTAACTACTAGGGATGTTGGGTGGAACACACCTTAAAACAGGTGCTTACTGTAAACCAGGTCGAACGTGTTCACTTATGTGAGGAAATCCCCCAAGCTTCGAGAAAAGATAGGAAATAAAGTCGAATTTTTGGCACATGACCAAATACATTTCCTGTCGTGCTTATTTGTGTACGCTCCCATGCCATCGGACACGTAGAGCAAACGTAAGAATGCACGTGAAACTGATGCAAAATTGCTTCTCAACTGTAACCAGAAGTAATGTGACGTCATTTACTAAAGGGCACATTCAATGAATGATGATGAAAAATTATTCCTCAACGGTAACCAGAGGTATTGTGACGTCACTGAGTAAAGGGTACATCAAAATGATGCAAAATTATTTTTCCAACGGTAACCAGAGGTATTGTGACGTCACTGACTAAAGGGTACATCAAAATGATGCAAAATTATTCCTCAACGGTAACCAGAGGTATTGTGACGTCACTGACTAAAGGATACATCAAAATGATGCAAAATTATTTTTCCAACAGTAACCAGACGTCACTGACTAAAGGGTACATCAAAATAATGCAAAATTATTTTTCCAACGGTAACAAGGAGAAGTGCGACGTCAATAAGTAAACAAAATATGGATATTAAATTTGGAAATAAAGGTTTCCAAAAATATATCAAGAAACGATTCTGTCAAGTGAAGAAAACATGTTACTGTTAGTTATAAAAGTTTAATTTTTGATAACTGTATAAAAGAGAGTTTATATAATGTTCGACCTGCTAGGTGATAAATGTTGAAGGTCTTTTCTCACCTGTTTTCCAGATATCTAACTGTGCATACAAAGTTTCTCCCCCTTGAGGAGCCCGACGACGGAATTCATCCTCAGGGATGGAACAAAGAAGCAGACCGTTCATGGAGAAGAAGTCCAACAGTATGCTGGGAAGGCCATATTGTTTTAAAGTCCATACAAACCAAGCTCGAACATCATCAGCGGACCAATTTACGGGGTCTGGAAAAAGAATAAAGAAAAAAAAAACGGTTGATTCCTGTCGGAAATGAACTACATGTTGCCGAAGGTTCTACTTCGAAAACAAAGCAAAACCTAAAACAAGCCCTTAGTGGAAAGGTTACATTAAACCATCAGATAAGTTCCACACTATTGTTTACACCTTCAAGTATCTATTATAAAATCAAACTCTTAAGTTTAAAAAAGGAAAAACAAAACAAAAAAACCTTTGATACAATGGTTTATTAATAAAATCTAGGAAAAACTTTAAGTTGACACAACGTTTCAGGCCTAAATCCTTCTTCGGTTGATGTCTGTTAAAGTCGTACATACAGAACACGTACGATCAAACTCTGACATGCGTTTTCAACAATAACTTTTATGTCATGTCACTTAGCAACAAAAGTATAACCTAATATTGTTGTTAGTCTGTGTAGTACAAGAGTAAAATGAAATGTATACACAGTGCAACAGAAAAAAAAATAATTTCTTAACTTCGTGTCTCCGTTGATTAATTAAAAAGTTTGTCTTATATGTGTTTCTAAAAATTAGGGTTCGTTAAACAGTCGATTTTAAAAAATTATATTTTGGCCAATCAGACGTGTTTATTGTTTAGATTTTTCGTTGGCTATGGTTTATTTGATAACTAGCTTTCAGTGACTAGTCAAAGACGGGTTGGAGTTTTGTAAAATAACACCTGGGGGCCTCCGCCCTTTTTTTCAACATAATATTTAAATTACGAAATACAAAGGTCTAACGCTAGGTCATAGGATAACATATTGATTATATTAAAGACGGTAAAGTTTAGTCCTAACTAGAGTAAAAACATACACAAGTTACCGTGTTAATTTATCTCTTTTATCCAATATAGGCCATACTTAATAAAGGCTTAACTAATGTTAGGCTTAAGACAAGTGGACTTAAAGATTTCGGTGTTTGTGATTAGAATATTTTTGTACTGATTTGAAATTGAAAGTTCTGATACATCAGTTTAATACTTGGCATTCGTTTGCTTCCTGTTAAGTTGGTTAGCTGGAAATATTATCGATCGCGGTTTAGGCCTATGATTCTCTACTTATAGATGCAACGTTGTAATAAGTAAACTAGTTTTGCAGACAATCTTTTGCGGATGTCTGCTAGTAATGTCATAACTGATTGAAAAAATAAATAAATAAAATAAACGGAAATAAACTCTCGATGTTCAAAATTTAGCCACTATGTATAGTGATTTTCTAGGACTATTAACAATTAATTGTGGTATTTTATCTGTCCATTCCTTTTCAAATTATGATACGCACATACATGTTCAAAGTTAAAGTATGCATTGGCCGGGGCTAATCTTTTTCTTACTCTGTGATATATGCCAAGTATACTGACACAAAGTTAAATAAAATAAATTGTATTGAGTTCTATGAAACCAATATCTAGAAAAAATTTGTCTTTCGACCACAAAGAGGTTGTGTGATTTTGCAGGTAGAAAAAAAAGTCCAACACTTCACTGATGAAACAAATATTGAGGTTGTAGCACACACGTGATGTGTACGGCAAATAGTACTAATTACTGAGCGAATCAATGTTCACAAACAATATATCTCGTGCATGCACTGACCGTAACATTAGACATGATAATTTTATGATCTTACAAGCTCTACTTCTTATTTATAACATACGCCAGCTTGCTTTATAAAATACGAAATGCATTTTTCACGTTTATTAATTGTTCCTTTCATTAACAATATTTCTATACTATTTATTATATCGAACATAATCACGTTTATTTTCTTTTAATTTGTTGGTAATTATTAAACTTTGTATTATAAAGATTGATTTGGATTGTTAGCTTAGTATTTCTATTTATATCTAACCTAAATTCCTAAGTTAGCCGACCCTGGGAGATATTTTTGGGTTTACGGCCGAAAATGTCGTTAACAGCAACTGACAAAACAATACATTCTAATCACTCTAAGTAAACAGCTTACTCTGATCAGAAGTTCTTTTAACGATAGAAAACACAATATTTGCAACTGACTTCCAAAAATTCTGAAGAGATTGCTATAAAACATACTTAAAATTATGTTTAAATTGAATTGATTGAATATCTATTTTTTTTATTTTTATGAAATAAGAGCTGATAATAAATGCACGTTAACTTGTTTTGACTACAGTTTATGACGCACAAGTCTGGTTACGGTACCATGGGATACCTGCGCTTTATCCCCCGTCGATTTTAGAGTTGTAAGTTCGTGAACTTCCTACTGACCAACCGGGGGACTGTGGTTGTGTCGATAACGACCAATTAAATACACGAATGGTGATTTATTCTAAGCATTCAATAAAACATAAAATGATCAAATTTATATAGTCGCTAGAAGCTTCAACTGGACATCCTCAAAAGAACTGTGGGCTTCGAAGTGCTCAGCTTGTGAAACTCGAATATTTGTTAACTACGTGTAATGCAGTAAGCCTCGAGTAGCGATGGATACTCCTAACAGGAGCTCACCATTATATACAGTCTACAAATGTAAATCTAAACTTTATTTGTTAAAAAGAACAAAATATAACAAAGACGTTTAATAAAAACAAGCTATCTATTTTAATTTTTCTAAATAGAAATGACACGTTTTCGCAAAATTGTGAAGAAGAAAACAGACATTTTCGCGAAATTTGCGCGGGGGGGGGGGCACTTTTTCGCGGAATATTAAAATTCGCGAATAAGAAAACGGAAAGCGGACTGATATATCAAACTCAAACGGAATGAACAGTAGAATAATATGAAATAGATCAGGTGGCTGTAATAGCTTCAGATATCGTAAATAATTTCAATTTGACGAGATCGTTGTTATAGATTAAAATATCCTCGAAGTACCTTTTTTCGTCTATACTTTACAGATAACTAACGAGGTATGATGCCATAATTATATGGCAAGGTTTCATCAATACACAACTGATATTACCATAAAAAACAAGCAACAAATACGACAAGAGCAGCAGTGGAAATGAACAAATAAAAAAAAAATCGCAAGATATCCTTATGTTTTTGAATCAAATAATCTATATCATTAGGTGTGCTTTGAAATATATCTTCATGCCCCTTCATAAGATATTCATTTCAGAGTATCTTATTCTACACATTATTAACCCTACAATGTCGTTTTCTAGATAAGCTACTGTTTGATTTCTGAATGCTCAGTCACGTATAAACAACTTCAAATTATAAAATCTATAATTCATGAAATAATACTGAGTAAGCAAGGTTGTCTGAGCCACCAATTACATCCACGAAGACGTCAACTACGTAGTCCAAAAGTTCACTGATCCAATCAACACTTGACCTACGTGTATAACCCCACCCTTAAACTTGAGAAAGCAGAGGCGAGAAGGAAGGGCGTGTTGTACCAACATTTTCAATCATGACAAGAGCAATATTTTCGTAACATTTAAACAAAAAAAAGTCATTTTTGTAAAGTTTAAGGAAGGGCTCTCTCGTAAAGAGATTTGACAACGTGACTAAACGCCTGCACGTATAAATTAACCTTCTACAGGTAAAAATAAAACTACCATAAGTTAGAGTAATTAATGCATCACACCGATCCCATTTTACTTCGACACGTACATCAACTTACCTCCAGGAAAACAGACGACATTAGAAATATATACATTACACTCACAGTAATCATAAAGTTTCAAAGGAAAAACAAACGAGTTTCACGTTTAAAACTTGGGCCTCAAACTCTAAGCTCACGTTCTCAATTCGTACTGCTTGTTTAGAAACGCAGCTCTCATCAGTAGAGTCTATTGACATTCACTATTAGTAATTAAATGCCCTGAAAATACGATTTTGAAACAGTTCGGAACCAACCTACCGTGCGCTATACCAAGCACCTGACAAGCTAGGTCTATGTCACGAGAGACCTGCTCCATTGCTAGGTACTGAACTTGTTGAAATTTCTCTTGAGATAACTGGCAAGAGTTGGCTAACTCATCCTCAGTCTTTCCCAGGCTTCGTAGAGCTTCGTAAGGCGACAAGTTATCATCCGACAACTCGCGTTTGATTTGACCCGGAGAAATGGGCATAAACTGTGGGTTGTTGAACTCACCGGACGGGTCTTTCGTTGGCTTGGGTAGAGGAAGGGAAGACTCGTACAGTGTAGGGCTCTCGGCAGAGGTAGAATTGAAGGAAGCGGCCGGAGAGGGTATACTCACGTTGACCGCCCACTGGTTGGAAGTAGCTGTCGCGTCGGGTTTCGTAGAGCTACTGCCTCCAAGCCCGTCAGAAACTACGGGAAGGTTACCGTAAGAGGGCAGTTTGGAATTATACATATATAGGCTTTGCTGGGAGCTGAATTTTGGCTTAGTGGATCCTTGAATAGGAACTTTCTCGTCTCGCCACCAAGCGTCCAAATCAGACATGAAACAATGTTCTAAGGACAGAGGACTGTCGAGGTCACAAGCTCCGTGGCTAGGACTAGGGACCAACTGCGGTCTCTAAAAAAAAAAAAAAAAAAGGACAATTTATTCCACAGCAACTAATGAAAACAAGAAAAGAAAAACAAAAAAGCAGAAACAGACCACACAAAAATTTACTCAGGATTGTAAGAAAATCTAATGA